AGATGATTTTTTTTTTGTTGGTATTTTTACTTAGTATTATTCTTCTCCTTGTTCCTAATTACTTCTCCACTTTTGAATTAATACACCTATTAAGAAAACAATAATTGACATAGTGAGTTTACCATTTTACCCCTCTTAATTATGATATGGATGAATTAAAAATTTAAAATTTTCCAAAAAGTTCTACCTTTTTCAAAATTAATTAATTGAGGGTATAATAAATAATTTTTTTTGTCATTTCTTGATTTGTCAAATTGGACAAGTAAAAAAAAATTGAATAAGTAATTACGGACAAAGGAGTATCGTCTTAATTACGACAATAAATACATATATAATACATTTCGAACACAGTTTTAATATAGTAACATACATAAACTAATTTATATATTTAAATAAATAAATAAAAACAGAACAATTATGATACTATATTATAGGCATAATATTTGTACAAGAATTGTTCAAGTGCAAATGTAATAAGTACGTTCTTCATCACTAAAATCGTTCCTCAATATGTCTTCAAATGGGTCGTTACTCTCATAATTCTCTATTTGTTCATCAATGTAGAAAATTTTAACACCAAGCTCTTTAAATTCAGCAAATTGTGGAGACCCCATAACTTCAATAATATCTCCTTGTTCAAACAAATTATTGACTTTCCAGTAACTTAACCACATAATTCCAGTTTGATCATCTTCTGGAAGGCCAAACCAAGCAGGATACAGAGCCCAGTTCAAATCTTTTGTCTGATTTCGTAACCAAATTGCTGGTCCGTCGTACAAGCCAACGTTGGTGTATGGTTCTGGACATTTGTATACAAAGCAAATGCTCAATCCATTGATTGTTCTGTGGCTATTGAGATTGTTTGGTAGGGTGCAATAGACTTCTGCTGCATCTGTGAACTTGTAGCTGAACCAATTGGGTACGCTTTCGCCAGGCAAAAATGTTGAGAAAACACCACGGTGGTACAATATCTGAAACATAATAGTATAATTATGTAATAGGTAATGGAGTTTGTCTAATAGATTAAATTTTTAGATAAGACTGATCATACGATTCAACATATCAGAGCAGGTACGACTCATGAGGTCTTGAGTTCAAATTAATCTCATTACCAAACAAAATTAATATAAAACATTTTTATGTTTTTGACCTGTGAAAAAGATTGAGGCTAGCACCATCATACATGAGGAAGTGTTGAAACAAAACTCATACTACTATTTATTTTGAGTTATTTACGAGTTACTACTCGATATGAGCATTTTTTTTTGTCTCAATTTATGTGTTATTTTTCGTTTTTCTTGATTCAAATTATATAAACTTTGACCAACATATTGACGTGAGAAGAATTGTAACTTATATTAGTTATAATATAGTTTTTTGAATTTCCATATTTTAATTTTAAAATATTAAATTGATATATCTGATCCAATTTATCTTCAAATATTAGTCAAATAAACTTTCGAGAAGCGAAAAGTGCCACACAAATTGAGATTAAGTAGTTATTAATATCAATAACTAGCTTAGATAGTGCTCCCTTCGTTTCAATTTGTTTGTTTGATTTTGATTTGACATGGAGTTTAAGGATAAAGAAAAGCTTTTGAATCTTAAACTATATATACCAAAATGTACTTTAATTTTGTGGTCTTAAAGTCATGTGAAAAAAAAAATTGAAGTTAAAGAGTTGTCAAAAAAAGAAATAGCCATTTTTCTTGAAACAATTTTTTAAAAAAATAAAAAGCAAGACAAACAAATTGAAACGAGAGGAACATGAATTAATTAATGAATGTAAAAAGAGGATAGGAGAGACAAACCTGTGGAGGTAACTTCTTAGGTGATAATGAAAATAAACTTGTTATGTCATCTTGTACAAAACCTGGATATTCATTTCTAAGTCTTTCAGCATTATACACACGACCAAATACAAGAGAAACCATAGTACTTTTCATTATAGTTTCCAAATTTGAAATTCCCATGTTGTTGGCAAGCACTTGAGGATCAACATTTTCCAATGGCTCTAACTTGAACACACCTTCAACTTCAACAAGATTTATACAATTTATATAACCTTCTACTGGATGCCCTTTAGCACAAGAACCTACTTTCTCCAATGATATACATCCATCAGCATTTACATCCGTTACATTTGATGGTACCCCTTCGAGGTACTTGATCTTTGTACAATACGCGATGTTAAGAGTTTTTAGCCTCGTAAGATTCTTGATACTATCTGGTAAATCGTTAATTGGATTTCCTCCCAAATCTAGCCAGTGTAGTAAGGTCATAATGCCTAAATCAACCTTGTTAAAAGCATCTGGAGATAAATTGCATTTTGCAATGTTTAACACATGTAAGGACTTAGGAAAATGAATTTTAGGAGATAATAATGGGCCACTTCCTTTCCAGGCCCAAGCCCATAAAGATGAATACCATGTTTGGGCCTCCAAATTGATCATTGAGATCCCATCAGCATAAAGTTCCTTTAGTGATGTTAATTTATCAAGCTCTGTTGGTAAATATACAATGTTTGAGCAGCCTGAGATGTTAAGTGTCTCAAGAGATTTTAACTCACAAATGCTATCTGGAAGACTCTTTAACTTTTGGCAATCTTTAAGGCTCAAAATCATGAGTTTTTGTAGACATCCGATGGTGTTATGAACATTGATTAACTTGGTACAATGTTCGAGTATCAACTTTTCAAGATTGGGAAGGCCTGAGAAATCCGGTGTTGTGATGAGCTCATAGGAGTGGCTCAAATCTAGTATCTCTAGGTATTGGAGAAACTAATACATCAAAACAAAGAAAATAAAGTGATTTGTTAGATATGAGTCGTAGTATGTAGAGTGTCAAATTTAGCCCATAAAATATAATTCACCTATACATACATTGGATAAGATCCATGTAAGCCAATTTGAAAGATTAGACCAATTCAATTAGAGGCTTATGTAGCCCAAAGTGATGCAATGATTCAACTCATTTTAACGTTAATCCACCTAATCCGTCCTTTTGACATCCCAGTGAGGAGGAAAGAAAATGAATATATAGACAATTAATTACCTTATATCCATTCCAAAGCTGTTTCAAGCTGCTGTATCGCATATCGATAGAAACAACATTTTCCATTGGAAACTCATTTGGTATACACTCCTCTGGGAATCCACTCCAACATAGCCATCTCAATCCCTTTGGAAAATTCTTGTAACTTCCATTCACTTGAACTTTGTTGAATTGGAGAAATTTAAGCTTGTGCATTTTCTCAAAGGCATCAGTTCTCACATGATCTTGTAAACTAAAATTGCCCAATTTTGAACTCCAAGCTGTGAAAAAGCCAATTTGACTTTGTCTCAATGGTATTAAGGGAATCATACGCATGTCAAGTACCATCCCTTGCACTGCCTCTGTTCCCTAATAGAAATCGCAAAAGACAAATGTGAGTCATTTGTATAACAGTAATGGTATATATGAGCTACTTTTATAATGAAAATATATCAGCTCTAAATAACAAAGTTGATTTCCCTAGTAAAAGTTGACAAAATTTTTCAAATAATTAGAACATGGTTAATTACTTACTGTTTTTCCTCTTAGAACATTGTAAGAATCTGTGTGATGCCAAAGCCTACTACGTTTTCCAGAATCCACAGTTGCTTCTCTACGAACAATATCTCTTCCCATATCACGTACTAATTGATGCATTCTTATATCATTTACATATTCATCAATTGTCACTAAACTTCTATCAATCAGATTTTGTATCCCCACTAATGTGTAAAAATCACATTTATCAAGTATTCTAACTACAAAATCTTTTTTCATCCCCACAAAGAAACAACAAAGATGAAGGAACAAATTCTGATCATGATCATCTTCCAATAACTCATAACTCAATCTCAATTTGTCAACAATTTTATTTGTGGGAATTTCTCTCAACTTTTCTATAGCACTTCTCCATACATTTTTTGATTTTCCAGCCAACGAAGAACCGATAACTTGAAGAGCTAATGGAAGTCCTCTACACCATTCAATCACTTCCTCTAAGTACTCTTTGTAATAATCTTTGCTTATTTGATTGTTTTCATGACCAAATGCATGAAAATTGAAGAGCTCATTTGCTTCAATTGTGTATAAAATTCCAACTTCATGTACCTCATGGACTAATTGAGGTCTTAATAAACTTTTGTGCCTAGTTGTTACAATTATTTTACTTCCAAAACCAAACCAATCTTTCATGTCAAATATAGCTTCAACCAAATCAGGCTCATCAACATCATCAAGAACAAGAAGAACTTTTCGATAACATAAAGCATTTCTTATCTTGATGATTCCTTCATCAACACTTGATATTTTTACCTTTTCATTCTTTCGAAGGATAGAAAGAAGTTGCTTTTGTAAAGTGATGAGACCATTAGGGAGTTTTGAAGTTTCTCTTATGTTTGCTAAGAAACAACTAATTTCAAAATATCCAAAGTTTAAATTGTAAACAAATTTGGCAAGTGTTGTTTTTCCAATTCCACCAATACCACAAACTAGAAGTACTTCAATATTGGAATTGTTCGATACATCAGTTTGAACCCAAGAATTAATGGGCCTGGCTCTACGATGTATTCCAATTGAACAAGAAGCAATATATAAGGCTGGACGACTTAATCTTGTGCTGATAACGTTAATGATCTTCTTGATGAAAGTGGATTCATGTCTGAAAAATCAAGATCACTCCTTAAGATTTGAGATTTATAATCTTGAATATAAGACAGGTTACCCTGCTATAACAAATAAAGATGTAAAAATTTGTTACACTGACGATACATGAATAAAGATAACTTACTGATTTTCAAGGACCATTCCTGCCAAATCAGCAGCTTGGCTTAGTGCATCTTTCCATTTCTTTAACTTGTCCTCCCAATACTCTTTTTCATTATTTTCATGTACTCTTTCACACTTGAATTTTTCTTCATGTCTATTTAATGCTTCTCCAAAACTTCCCTTGTGCTTCCTTAGATTTGGAAGGATCAACATGGTAGAAAATAGGCAATATCATACATGCAAACTTCATTTTTTTTTCAAGAATGGAAACAAGTTGATCCAAGCACCAACTAGAAGATGCATAATTTTGTGAGAATACAATTATACACATCTTTGATTCTTGTATTGCTTTAGACAACTCTGAATTAATGTCTTCTTCTCTTCTTGATTCATTATCACCACCTTCGAACGTGCGAAATCCTGCTTGATTTAAAGCTGTAGAGAGGTGATTTGTGAAATTTTTACCAGTGTCTTCTCTTTTGAAACTCAAAAACACATCATATGACTTTCCGTAAGTATTGGATGATTGATCATAAGCTAATTGTCTGGTGGCCATTGAACATAGTTCACTTATGTTAGCCATCCATTAGTAGTAATAAATTGTATAGTAGGAGCTAGAATATAAGTTACAAAAATTGAGGTTGAGGGCAGTGGATCGAGGTCGGGGTCAGTTGGCCGGAGATGCTGTTGCTCTCCTCGCCGGCTGCTGATGTTGATTGCTTGGAGCTCGCTGGCCGGAGCAGTTCTCGCCGGTGAGAAGAGACGGGAGGGAGCAAGGAGAAAAGAGATGAGAAGAGGTGGGCGGCGGGAGCAAGGAGAGAAGAGATGAGTTTGGTCTTTTTTAGGTCAAAAATAGGAAGGTTAGGTAGATTTAATTTGAGCCATTGGATTAGTTAAGATGAGTGGCTAGGATTTGATCTAGGATTCACTTAAAGGATGGACGGTTAAGATTTAAACTAATGTTTCAAGATTTGGACAAAAAGGGTTATAATTGCAATGAATGAATGGCTAAAATTGATATAAGAGGCTATAATTGAAAAACAAAATTGGATTGAGGTGGCTAGAATTGCAATGAATTGAATAAGGAAAAAGCTAAAATTGAAAGGAATGGAGTAGATTAGAATGGGCTAAAAATTAAATGATTTCGAGAAAAATTAAAGAAATGCTATTCAATTAAAATACTACAAATATTATAACATTTTATATAATAAAAATCACTTAAATTTTAATATTTGAATAAATAATTATTCCGAGTTTTACTTATAATTTTAAAAATATTTACGATAATTTTATAAAGCATGCAAACTAAATATATAATTTTTAGACAAAATCGATTAAAAATTTAAACTCGGAATATTTAAAAAAAACACGTATTTAACCAAATAGCACTTTCGAAAGGGTTATAGGACTGTCAAAATTGGGTGTCAACATACCGACATCGTGAAGTCGATATTATCTAATAAAATAATTATTTAAATATACCGACCTATTTAGATCGGTATTTATTAATTTATTTTAATATAAACTCACCTTTTGAGGTTGATTTTATTAATTAAAATTACATATACATATACATACATACATACATACATATATATATCTATACAGGCCAAACACATATACAGTCCCTCAAACTTGCCCTCATTTTTCATTTTGGCACTCCAACTTAGCTTTGTTCCATTTTAACCCTTAAACTCCATTTTTTCTGTATCATTTAAACACTTATACTAATTTTTATGATTTGTTTTTATTTATGTTCTTCAATTGCAATTTCTTATTTTAAAAAAATAGATGTGTGCCTGTTAATTAAAAAAAATTAAACATTCGCGAACGAACATAAATTTGTTACCCTGCTATAACAAATAAAGATGTAAAAATTTGTTACACTGACGATACATGAATAAAGATAACTTACTGATTTTCAAGGACCATTCCTGCCAAATCAGCAGCTTGGCTTAGTGCATCTTTCCATTTCTTTAACTTGTCCTCCCAATACTCTTTTTCAGTATTTTCATGTACTCTTTCACACTTGAATTTTTCTTCATGTCTATTTAATGCTTCTCCAAAACTTCCCTTGTGCTTCCTTAGATTGGAAGGATCAACATGGTAGAAAATAGGCAATATCATACATGCAAACTTCATTTTTTTTTCAAGAATGGAAACAAGTTGATCCAAGCACCAACTAGAAGATGCATAATTTTGTGAGAATACAATTATACACATCTTTGAATCTTGTATTGCTTTAGACAACTCTGAATTAATGTCTTCTTCTCTTCTTGATTTATTATCATCACCACCTTCGAACGTGCGAAATCCGGCTTGATTTAAAGCTGTAGACAGGTGATTTGTGAAATTTTTACCAGTGTCTTCTCTTTTGAAACTCAAAAACACATCATATGACTTTCCGTAAGTATTGGATGATTGATCATAAGCTAATTGTCTGGTGGCCATTGAACATAGTTCACTTATGTTAGCCATCCATTAGTAGTAATAAATTGTATAGTAGGAGCTAGAATATAAGTTACAAAAGTTGAGGTTGAGGACTTTAGATTAGCTAAAGTTGAGATATTTACAAATATATCCCGAACTATCGAGAATGGTAGTATATATAAAGGGCATATATGCTCTAGTTTTTGGATGACAGGGGTACCAATGTCCCAAAAGTATGACGGAGGGTATCTGCATACCATTTACGATAATTCAGGGGTATATTTGTCTTTTTTCCCCTATATATATGATGAAAAAAATCTTTATATCGAGATCCAATTCCAGCTCGTACGAGATTTTAAATATTATTTCAGAGTTGTGACTCGTTCGAAATTTCTGATTAAGAATGAAAGGATGGTACTAGTTGAATCATTTCTATTCCTAATGGCTGAAAAGGCTTTTGTCATAGGATGGTGGAGATTGGAGAATATATTCCTTACATGGAAAGTAATACAAATGAATATATTCACTTATTATATATTGGATTCACACATTCTTTAATTATTTGTATACCATTCAAGGTTCATATATATGTGGCTGAAATGAGATAATTATTCCACTTGGTCATGAGCAGTGGTGACGATACTTTTTGTGTAGGTCGAAATCAAAATTACTTTTTATATGCTTTGAAGATCGATGGAACTTCCCTCCCATAGTGGAGATTAGAGAATATATATAGCAAGTTCAATATCACTATTAGAAAACAAGAAATTAGAGAGTAACGAGGGATAAAGAATGAAACATCACAAACAACAAACTTATTTTTATTCCATATAACAAACCACATAACATATATCCTCATCCAATGTACGTACGTCACACTAAAATGGAGAGGAAATCAAACCAGTTGACATGATCAATACTTATTTTTGTGACAAAACCAAAGCAATTCACAAAAACCATAACTATTTGTAGATCATGTATTTTTTTAAATAAAAGTTTTAGTTGTTATCCCACCAGAATTTTGATTGGAGGTAATCAATACCTTTCTTATCAATTTGGAATGCTTTTGCAAGAACATCATCACTGATGGGTGGGTCTGATCCAAATACTGCATTTGCAATGGTGATGACTCCTGGATTTTGACTACTAAGTCCAGCAAATGCAACAGTCTTAGTCTTTCCTGGGTTGAATTGAAAATGAATGAGACCTATTGGGAAGACAAACACATCTCCAGGATGTAGAATTTTGGTAAAGAGCTTGTTCTTCATATTTGGACCAGGGGTTTTGATAGGACAAAACCACATAGAGTGTTCCCTCAAGGACAACAAGAAACTCAGTTCCTCTAGGATGCGTGTGCGGCGGATTGAGACCGTACGGTGCATAATCAATACGAGCTAAAGAATGCCTAGAGTGTTCAATCCTGGTAAGTTGTTGACGTTTTACAGGAGTTACTGCAGATCCAACATTATTTGAAGTATTTCCAGGCATATTCAGACCCGATTTAAAGAAATCCTCCGCCACAACAAGCTTTGGATCCTTGCAAAATTTTCCGTTCACAAAAACTGCAAAAAAGAAATAGGTTTTAATTAGATAAAAGTCAACAAATTAATATAGAATTTTTTTTAAAAATATGATAAAAATAGTGTAGATCATGTTTGTGATTTGGTAATTTACCAGCATTCTTAGAGTCATCAACAGCAACACAAAAATCCTGAAGAGGGCTAGGATCAGATGCAAGGCTCCTTGAAGGTAATAGAGCCATTATGGCAATGGCTATTATTAAAGACTTGAAAGCCATTGCTACTTATGAAATGATGTTTTCTTTAGTTGGTTTTTGACAAACATAATAAGAAAAAACCTCCTATTTATAGATGATTATTTGTGTGAATTGGTCCTTAATTTCCTTTAAACAAATACATTAAACTTTGGTTTACCAAGTCATCAACAGTAAACATTTTTAAACACTTGTTTATTAATTGAAGCTTCCTTCAACAACTACAAAAAACCAAATCGTATTTACCTACGTACGTTGAGAAATTATTTGATACTTCCTTTGTCCCGATTATGTGACACATTTCGTTTTTTGAGAGTCAAATAATTTAAATTTGATCGATAATTTGCTCATGAAATCTTCAAATTTTTTAGCTAGGTACTTGTCGATCTAATTGTGGAAAGGACGAGAAAAGAAAATCCCCTTAAAGACATTAAAGAACTTTTTCTAGTAAAAAATCACGTAAAAAATTACTACAATATTATCATGTAAATATTTTTATACTATCCTTATAAGTTATAACTTAACCCAATGTAACAAGCTATCTACCTTATCTTAGTTTTTACTAACTATTGAATGTAAAGTTCGAAATCGATCACATTTTATTCAATCTTGGTCAAGACCACCAACAGATGCAGTGCAACAGATAAGGTTGTTCTTTTCTTAATCAGAGTCTTGGATTTGAGTTCTCTGGGAATGAAAAACTCTTTGGTAGGGAGTGTTTCTCTCAGAATGAGATTTTACGCGATGCAAATCTAAATTAATCAAACTCTAATACAAATATCAGATACTGGATTGAAAAAAATAAAATATTAGGGTGTTACAACATTAATGAAACAACCTATTTCTTAGGTGCCAGCCTTGATGACTTAATTTTTTCCACTTACTTAGTACCAACTTGTATTGTCTTAGTCATGAGATATTGATCATCAGGAACAGGAACTGGCAATGGCCGCCGGAACTTTCCCATTGCTGCTGGAAACACTTCACCTTTTAGGATGTTTATTGCGACAAAATAGCTTTTAGCGGTAATAAATATGCACATTAGTAAAGAGTGTAAAAACCTTTATCGTCATTAGTTGATTATCATTGGATTCAATGTTGCTATAGGTTTTAGGAATATTTACAAAAAAAATGTTAATTGCTTCAAAAAATATACTACCCCGTCCACTTTTAATTATCACGGTTTCCTTTTTTAGAGTCAAACTATAACAACTTTATAGTACTTTTCATAAATTTTTTGAATACCTAAATTTTTTGTTTAAAATATTCGATTAATGTAATCAAATTTAACTTTAAAAATTAGTCAAATTGACTTTCGAAAAGCATTACATGACAAATAAAAGTGGACGAAGGGAGTATTTAACAATAATTAAGATATTATTGTTACCAATCATTTTTGATGTAGTGGTTGTAATAAATAATGTGTACAATAATATGTTGATTTTAATTACTCTAAAATCTTCATTGGTAGTAGCATTAAACTACTGTACTAATTAAGTTTAAAGTATATTTAAGTACTGATCACTACGTTGGAATTTGCACGCGAGAAGAAAGTTCGTTATTTTTTTACTTACACCATTCATATTAAGGGAAAATGCATAAGTACCCCAGCCTATGCCCGAAATCCCAGAGACACACCTAACCTTTACTAAGGTCCTATTACCCCCCGAACTTATTTTATATGTAAAATTCTACCCCTTTTTGACCTACGTGGCACTATCTTGTGGGCCCAGCGTACGTTGACAAATTTTTCAAGGATAGTGCCACGTAGGCCGAAAAGGGGTAGAATATTATAGATAAATTAAGTTCGGGGGGGGGGGGGGAGGGGTAATAGGACCTTAGTAAAGGTTAGGTGTGTCTCTGGAATTTCGGGCATAGGCTAAGGGGGTACTTATGCATTTTCCCTTCATATTTATAAAAAAACTGTCATTGCAATTTAAATTACAGGAGTAATAATTGAGAAATATAGCTATATACAATGAACAATCACCCCTTTTTATAATAATAAAACATTTTATTATAATAGTCAAGTTTTAATTAAAATCGACTTTCATTTTATGTTATGTTATACATTCTTTATATATAATAGCAATTTGTTATAGCAACTAAAGAATATTTGGATAAATGATTATAGAGATGATTGTAGTATATATATGGACATATATATATGTATCTTGGCCTCAATAGTATAAATTTTATACCTTTGCATGATGTAGAACATAATATCCCTACTTGTGCAGTTTAAGAGTAGTAGTACTATAATAATGGAAAACAAAATATATTAAAGAAATACAATTAGATCTTCTTCACCTGCTAATGTTTTAGAATTCAATTACTCAGTCAATACTGTATTTGTTACTCTCACTTCGGTGGGCCACGAGGCGTCTTTCTAATAACATTAAAAAAAAACACGATCACGCATTGATAATCGACGATTCAAAATATAATCAAGTAAATGCATGGAGAATTAAGGACACCAGATGCAATATCTATGAGTAATGATCCACATATTTATTAATTCAATTTGACATTTAAAATTAATCTAATTTTGGCTAAATTGTTATACTGCGGTTTTCAAAAGTCAATTTGACTAATTTCAAAGTTAAATTAGATTACATTAATTCGATATTTTAAACAAAAAAATTAGATATTCAAAAACTATACGGAAAGTATCATAAATTGCAATTTTTTACATATCAATATAATTAAAAAAAATACATGATAAATTGTTAATTAAAGTTCTTATTGTTTGACACTAAAAAAAGAAACCATAACAACTAAAAAGGAACGGATGGAGTAAAAATTTCTTAAGAATTGAGCACTACTAAATAGAAATAGTACTTTCTCCATCTCATATTAGTTACTATTTACTTTTTTCTTTACATGTTCCTTAAGAAATCATAGAAATAAAATTATTAATTTTATTATTTTACCCTTTATCCACTCCTTTGAAAAAGAATTTTTTTGGAACTTTCAAAATTTATTTAGTCTTTCAAATAATATTAATTGTAGGGTTAACGTGAGAAAACTTTAATTAATTTTGTCTTGATTTGATAAATGGACCAGTAATACGGAATAATTATTAATTTATAGTAATTAGATGAATAACTAATATTATGAGATGGAGATAATAATAATAAAAATATTATTTTGTCTCAAATTTTTAGTTTTACAATTATTGTATATAGAATAATTTTTTTTATAAAGCGATACTTATCTTAAGACGAAGAGATCGTTTGTTAATTACCATTACCAATATGACTTTGGCATCTTCACCTAGCACTGTATCCGACCATAGCAGGACTTTTGTGTTGCTATTAATGACTCTAAAG